ACATCTTAACTTTAACACACATAAACTACGAACATAGCTCTCTCTAATTACATTCTATAGCAATAGACAACGATATGGCACATCCAAAGGTTCTGTTCAAGATCATGAACCCAGAAAGTGACTGGGATAAAGTTTCGTTGGAAGAAGTTGTTGATGTGGTTGACCTCAAAGAAACGATCAAGAAAGAGGTATATCCTGTTCTTAACGCCTATTCTGTGTGTCAACTTGTTATTAGGGCCACGAAAATAGAAGACAAAGAAGCAGATAACGCAACAGAACAAGGTGGAGAAAAGAAGCTAGTTGATATCCTCAACGACTTTATGGTTCCGTATAGCGATGTTTCAATCAAGGAATCCTTCGCTGAAAATATTAGGCTATTTGTTTATGTTCGTAGCGCATTAATAAGTGGAGTTTCAGGAATGGGAGAAATGCTTTCTGAAATTGGATTGCAAGGTTTGTTTTATTTTTCTTACGTAGTTAATTTGAGAAATTTAATAGTGGGAATTATGTTATAGTACTCACACGAACTTCAATATGCAGTTGTTCCAAAAAAACGATCTTACAAAGAGGCCATTGGTATTGACCGTCTCGTGGTTATTTCTGAAGAGCGATTATCTGAGTTCAATCGGCAATGGGATCTATACAAAATCATTCTTCTGCGTAGCCCACCAGGTTCGGGGAAGACAACATTCGCAAAATGGATCGAATTAAACAACAAAGATCACGTTCGTGTGGTTCGCCGCATTTCAATGAGTCATTTAAATAGAATCTCTGGCGCTTTTGAAAATGAGAATATCTTCAATGCTTCCTGGAAGAGATTTGCTGGAGAAACTTGGACAAACTGCCTCCATAGCACAACGCCAACAGATATTCTAATTGATGAAGCTCAAATTCTTTATTGCAAAGCAGCTTTTTTTTGGAATGACATTAAGAACCTCCAAGATCGCCCCAATCACAACTTGCGTGTGATTTTATTAAGCATGTACAGCGATTGCCCAACGGTAAATGGAGGTGAAAATTACACACCCATCGAATTTCAGCATGCACTGGGAATAGAGCAGCTACGTCTAACGCGAACAGAGTACGATGTACTTGTGAAAAAGTTTATTAATATTATCTACGAAATGAAGATTTTATGCTCATAATTCCAGACAACGTGCGCGATGCAATTTTCAATGCAACAGCTGGACATCCCCACCTTGTGAGGAAGTCACTGCGTAATCTGAAAAGTTATTGCCGTCGTGGCAACAATGATGCCATTGATATGCTTCTTTATTTAGTCTCTTGCGATTATTTCTGTGCCATTGAAAAAACACGTGTTTTTGACTGGTTAAAGAATTTGGAACTAACAAGTGATGACGCCAATTTTTTGAGAAACGCATATTACAAAGTCGATTCTGCTTCAACTTTTACTTTCGATCCACACGATCAGGAGATGTATCAAACTGCCAAGAAATTCAAACGTTCGGGTTTGATCACAGAGGCACTAGAAGAACGTTTTCAGTTTGCTGCACCAATCGTGCGTATTATACTGGGAACCAAATTGTTCAAGGCACGCACATCACTTACGCAGTCAAGTAATGACTTTGACAACTTTTTGCTTCTCAGTATTGAGCGGATGTGACCATTGACATTACTTAATTCTCTGAGTTGCAGTCGTAATGAGGGTGCGTTTGATAGAGAGACAGTGGCAAATCGAGTGGTTATTAGCTGCAACGTCCGCTGTGCCAACAGGAAACTCAATCAACCCTGATGTTGGTCAAGTGTACGGAACTCCAGGTTATCTTGATTTCTACATTAATGGCAAGCTAAATTGGGGTGTGGAACTTATGAGAGAGGGTAAAAAGATGGCAGACCATATCGATCGTTTTGGAAACGAAGGCAGAAACAAAAATATTCCGTTTGATCGGTGGGCAATTATTGATTTTCGGCACAATTCCAATGTGCCTAAGAAACTGGAGCCTAATGTCTGGTATGCTCTGTATGCGGACAACTATAAAACCATTACTGTTCGGCGTCAAGGCCATGAAGATGTGATTCTGAATCTATGTGGTGATAGTTCGCTTTCTTCTTTTCAGTCAACCTAATGTCTTGTTTAAGGTAGGCTTTATAGCAGCACAAAATATATTAGACGTCTCTGGTGACAATAAAATATCTGACTGGTAACGGTGTAGTTTGGTAAATATTATTTTTTTTAAAAAAAATAATAATAAATGCTGTTGCACGAACTGTACGAACTATTATCATTATATCTTGTATCAAAACTAGTTTCTTATATTATCTGTAATAATTTACAAAGATGCGAATTTATATATTGCTTACTGTAGAGATTACTGTGCTGTGAAGGTAATTTATGTTATATTTTTAGTTTTATAAAACTTATTATATTGTGATAAGTATTAGGATAGTTTTTGAGAATACTGTTGAACCTCTCAAAACCGACCCTGTCAACTTCTCAAATTTGACAAAAAAAATTAATATAATTTAATGTTTTCAAATCTGATAACCTTTCAATACTGAGCAAAATCTGTCCATCGTGCATATCAGCTTTGGGAGGTTTAACAGTATATGAGTGCCGTCAAGGGAAAACCTGTCATCGGGCTTTCAATTATATTTTGTATATTTTGTGTCCAGTTTGTTCTCTGAATGCTATCTAGGGAAAACTTATTATCGGACTTTCGATTATATTGTAATGACTTGTCAAAAAGTATTATTGAAATCCGGATGAAGATTTTTCCTAGTTGGCACTCATAAAACAAGCTAAACAAAAAATATAATTGAAATCCTGATGACAAGTTTTCTCTTGACGGTCTTGTTTTTAAAAAACTTAATTTTTAAATTAATAAGTCTCAAATTACGTAATGAGTAGTATTAAACGGGTCGACAATAACAATAAGGTGGTAAAAAACCTCATGTTATTCATCAAGTAGTTTGGAACGCCCAAAATAGATCACTAACCATAATGCTGGTGTATTTAGATACCATAATTCTTAGGTATTTAGATACCATAATTCTGATGTTACCATAATGCTATTGTGTTAAAATACTGTAATGCTTCGATGACATAAGATAACTTACCGTTAGTATTATCAAAATGATCTTATTTTGAAAAGGTTGTTAAACTTTAAATACTATAAGGTTTGAATTGTTTTCACCAGAAAATTATTTATTATTAATTAGTTTATATTTATAAATTACTTTTAACATCATACATATAATTAAGACTATAAATTAGTATATAATATAGTAGTTATTAACAAAATTCTAAGATATATATATCTATATTCTTATTTAATTTAAGTTATAAATAAAGTAAAAAATATTTTAGATTATTGTATTAGAAATTCTTGGTTTATTAACTAAATATGTAGTATATTTATTTCTTATTTAAGTAAATCTTGATATTTTGTATCTACATTATAGTATTACAAATTTACTAGTATAATTACTATTGGCAAAAATGTCTTCTTTAATAGATCAGCAGTGCTAATCTAGATGAAGTTAAAAAATTTATATAATTTTTTTATAATTTTTTTTAATTTTTACAGTGAGGCTATGCCTCTAACTTTATAAAATTCAATTGGGTTTTTTTATAAAAAATATACAAAAAAGAAATTACATATGAATCTTATATCTAGAAGATGTTAAGACTAGAGACTCAAACACAATGTTATAATTATAACATTATTATCTGCAGTCTAAACCTATCAGAGTAGCCAGACTTACCTAGATTTAAGGGTTAAAGAATAAATTATAATAGTTAAATTAATTTTGAGCAAGTCCAGAGTTTAATTTTTACTAGTAATAATTAATAAATATCAAAACTTGTATATCTCTAATATATCAACTTAATTGAATATGCTGGGTATAATAGATGTAATCAGAGTTTAAAATTACCTTGCACAAGATATATACCCTATAAAAAATTTTTAGTCATTATATTCTGATTTTAATTAGGTATTTTAGTAATATTCCAATTATATTCCAATTAAAGATCTTAAAATATTGTATAA